CATTTTCAAATTCAAAGCACAACCTAGAAGCTGGTTCATTTTAGACTTCTTGTTCCTGCTATCAACCACCACCCTAAGGCAAACCTCTTATTTCTCTATCCTCTCCCATTTTCTTGCGTTTTCACAGCTCTCTATTCTCCACCATGATCTCTTTCAGTAGGGAATCTTCCTCTAAAACTGCCTCTAAAACTTTGGCCCTGTATCTTGAAACATAGTTCCTTTACCATCAAACACCACCTTTATCTCAAGCACCTGCACAGATACTTCTGCCCCATTGTCTTATTTCAAACTTGACTTCTGGCTGAGTGACTTTCTGCCTCAATGGAGACTGTTAAGTTTTCCCCAGCTCAAGTCTGCAAGGCTGGCAGGAACTGAGTGCTATCTCCTAGCCCTAATTGCTGCTTGCAAGCCATTATATTTTGTATTCCATTGCGTAGATGCTTTCCTCTCTCAAGGGTTTATTATGTCATTCTTGCCATTCTGTTCTCTATTTGTCACATCACATATTCACTTCCAGCCACTATTCCATATTTATTAAATACTTTGAATCTAGACTCCTGATCTTTTTGTCCACCTCTACTCTTGCCAACATCCTAAGGGATTTAACCGAGAAGTAGAACCACTAGCCATGTAATCCTCACAGTGTCTTGACTTACTTAAATCCATAACATTTGTCTTAACACTTTATCAGCCTACATAATCAATGACCCGCACTTGGCCTTCTCATACCCTAAAAATGATGTGCATTTAATTAAGATCCTGGGGCTAGCAGGTAGTGTGGTGGTTAAGGTTCTGGACTCCTGTATGGTTGACTGTGGTTTGAGTTCTAGACCTGGTGGCTTGCTTTCTCACTTTCCCTTTCTCTGTTTCTTTCTGGTCATATTTAAAATTAATAATAACAAATAAAGATAAATAAATAAATCTTTAAATAAATAAATAAAAGCTTAAGATCCTTGATTTGATGATCATATACTACATTTACACTTTGAAAAGCCAAATTGTGTACTGGGTTAGCAGGTGGCATGGAAGTTAAGTCTGGATCCCACATAGCTGACTCTGTGTTTTGAGTCCCATACCCAGCAACTTGAAAATCACTCTGGATGAGTGTTCATGTGAGCCCAAAACCCTGAGAGTAAAGTGGAAGAAAAGGGAATATGACATGGTCATCCCCCCCCCGGGGGGGGTGGTTTCTCACTTTCTCTCTCTCTCTCTCTCTGATGAGTGTAAGTGCCCTACAGCAGAAACTTAAAAAGGGAGAGAGAGATGTTTAATGGTTTAATGTAAATAAGAAATCATAAAATAAAATCTTAAGTTCTAATATGTCACTCTCTATGTCCACTCCTGTGTTCAGCTTTATTCAATGAGGAAAACAGTTTCCCATTCTTATGACTTATCTACAAGTACAAGGCACAGACCTCCACTGTCTCCCAGCTAAGAACATCAAGTCTCATTCTCTTACTCCCAGCACACACCGTCACCAACATAATCACTTTCTCCTGCTCTTGACTGATCTCTATTCTACCATGATTTCGCTGTTTTGTTTTCCACTGACTTTCCCAGTCAGTTTTACTTATTTCTCTCCTACCTGGTGGTGTATCACCACACCCTTACCAGCATCCTCAATCTCATTCCTTCCTATGCCGTAAGTACCAATTACCAACACTTCCACACTATCAACCTTGGAACAATATCACCTTCTTATGGTAATATATACTTTTGTCTGCCACCACATTATTGACAGGAAAAATCACATAGACACATATATCGGCACCATATGAATTAGTGAAATAAAGGCCTGTGACCTTTACTTGTCAGATTTTTTTATTTGTTGGTTTTCATCACTATTTCTTAATTTTTGTTGTTTGGCTGGAGGAAATCATTAGGTACACTTTTGAGAGAATGAGTGTGTAAGGTATTTTTCTGAATTTTTTGCATGACTGAAAGTTTTACTTTTCCCTCACTCTGGAATTATAATTTTGCAGTGTGTAGAATCAGAGATTACAAAGTCTTGGCCCTTAGCTTTTAACAGACAATTATTCATTACTTTATTATATCTTGTGTTTCTTATGAGAAGTTTTGTTTTTGTCATTTTTTTGGCAAGTAAATCTGATGTTTATCTTTCTTAAAAATTAAGAAAGGTGGTTTGGTGTTTAAGGTGCTGGACTCCCACATGACCAACCACAGTTTGAGTCCTAGACCTGGTGGCTTACTCTCTCTCTCTCTCTCTCTGGTCAAATTAAAAAAAAAATAATAACAATAAATAAAATTAAATAAATAATTCTTTAAAAACATTCTAGGACTTTAAAATATATTTCCAGACCTCATAAATTTCAAAAACTAATGAGAATGTGTTAGGTCTTTACTTTTATTATTTCTATTCAGTTTTAGGTAGTTTTTTAAAATCTGAAGATCAAAGTAAAAGTGAGGTGTTTTTTTTCTTCTATTATTTCCCTTTCTCTTTATTCTTTCTGTTCTCTCAATCTCAAACTCTTTTGTTCTTTTTTTAAATTTATTTATTCATTCATTTATTTTAATTTGACCAGAGAGAGAGAGATAAAGAGAGAGAGGGAAAGTGAGAAAGAAACCCAACAGGTCTGGGACTTGAACCTGGTTGGCCATGTGGGAATGTCCAGCACCTTAGTTACTATGCCACCTGCTGGTACCAATCTCAAACTCTTAATTAACAAATATTAGATTTCCTTTTTCAATTTTTATGACCCCACGTTTTTTACTCATATTTCTAGCAACTCTTAATATTCTACTCTCTTGGTGATTTAACTTTCCTTTTTAAATCACAAATATGGTCTTTGGTATGACCATTTGGTTATTCTGAGTATTTTGATCTAATTATTTTTAATTTCTAAGAATTCTTTTTTCTCTGATTGTTCTTTTATTCATAGCAAACTTCACTTATAAAATGCAATATTCACTCAAGTTTCTCTAAGGATATTACTAATTCATTTTTTAAAGTTTTTTTAGTTTTTCCTCTGCTTTTTGTTCCCTTCAAAAAAATTATTTTTATTTCTTCTGATTACTGATCCAATGACATTTTGCTTATTTTTTTTTTCTTAGGCTTTGTCATGGGGCACTGTGCACTTGAGAGAGACAAGAGAGACAGAGAGAGTGAAAGTGAGAAATCAACCCCGCCCCACCAAGGGGAGATGACCTTGCTGCAATCCCTTTTCCATTCTCCTCTTGGGATCTTGGGCACGCACATACACAGACTCAAGCTACAGGGTCCAGGCCTTGAACCGTAGTTGGCCGTTTGGGAGTTCTGTACCCTAACCACCATGGCATCTGCTGGTTCCCCGATTTACTTTTTAGAGGATAAATTTGTCTCAATATTAAACATCAATTTAATAGTCAAATTAGATGGAAACAAAAAAAAGAGGATAATAATTCAAAGCTATATAAATATATACTTAAATCAAAATTTCCCTTCAAGTGTCTTCATGCTTATCAATGTGAAATAATGTTTAATTGTTATGGTGACAGCTATGTTAACTTTTTATTAACTTTTTTACATTATTATTATTATTATTATTGCTTTTGCATAGGTCACATGTGCTCACTGAAGAGAGACAGAGAGAGGGAAAGTGAAAAATCATCCCCCCCCAGGGAACTGATCATGCTGCAATCCCTTCTCCTCCATTCTCCTGTTAGGATTTTGGGCATGTGCCCAGTGTGATTTTTTAAGTCATCTGTTTCGGGACTTGAAACATGATCAGCCATGTGAGGTGTTTACTTTTATTTCTCCTTCTCAGTTTTAGGTGAATTTAAACATACATGTTTAAGTGCTTTAACCACTATGCCACCTGCTGGTCCCTTAATAACTATCTTATTTATCTATTTATTTTTAAATAGAGATTTTTGCTAGAGAGATAGAGAGAAGCAGAGAGATGGAAAGTGAGAAATTATCCCTGGGGGGATGGCCACATCGTAATACATTTTCCTCCATTCTCTTGAAATTTTGTGCACAAAGACACACACATGATCTTAGCATGAGTTTTACACAGACGGGTCTAGAACGGGTCTAGGACTTGAATGGTGGCAGCCCTGTGGGAGTCTAGTTACATAACCATTACACCATCTGCTGGCCCCTTAACTATCTTTTACTTATTTATTTACTTATTTATTAGAGAGAATTTTTTCTATAGGGTGTGTGTGCTCACCAGAGAGACAGAAACCAAGAAATAACCTCTCAGGGGGGATAGCCATGCTGCAATCCTCAGTCCTTCATACTCCTCTTGGGATCTTGGGCATGCACACACATGTGCCTGGTGTGAGTTTTGAGCCACCAGGTCTGGGACTCAAACTGTGGTCAACTATGTGGGAGCCCAGCAACGTAACCATTACACCATCTGCTGGTCCCCCTTAACTATCCTCTAAAATGAACAATGCTATGGTTATTTCACACACCTGATGTGTTTCATTAGTTTGTATTTTGCAAGTAAGTTTTTTTTAATAATTATTTAATTTTATTTATTCATTTATTTTAATTTGACCAGAGAGAGATACAAACAGAGAGAGAAAGGGAAAGTGAGAAAGCAAGCCACCAGGTCCGGTATTTGAAACACAGTCAGCCATGTGGGAGTGTCCAGCACCTTAACCACCATGCCACCTGCTGGTCCCGCAAGTAAGTTTTAATAAAATAAAGAAAACCTGGGTCAGCCAATGGCATGATGGTTAAGTGACTGGATCTGACCTGGCTGACTGCATGGTTTGAGTCCCAGACCCAGAAGCTTGAAAACCACACTGGGTGTATGTGCATGCATGCCTAAAATCCAGAAAGGAGGGAGATATGAAGAGGTGTGTTTTTTGTTGGTTTTTTGTTTGTTTTTGCTATAGGGTATGTGCATTCACCAGAAAGACAGAGAGAGACATAGAAACAAAAGGTGAGAAATCACCCCCCCCCAACCCCAGGAAAGATGGCCATGCCACAATCCCTTCTCCTCCATTCTCCTCTCAGGAGCTTGGGCATGCACGCACATGTGCCCAGCATGAGCTTAAGCCACCAGGTCCGGGACTTGAACCATGGTCGACTGTATGAGAGTCCAGCAACATAGCCATTTCGCCATCTGCTGGTCCCAAGGAGGGAGATATGAAAGAGAAGAGACCATTCCCCATGAGGGTGTGCTTTCTCACTTTCCTTCTCATTCTCTACATGGTGAGAGCACATGCCTTCTGGCAAAAAGTGTTTTCAAAAAAGAGAAAATCCAAATTTTAAAACTGATTTCTGTTTGATATCTACCAAGAAATCTGTCTTAGCATTTGGTAAATTTTGTAATGAAGCATATTTAACTGATTCTTAATATTTAGAATTAAAAAGTAAATTAGAAACTCAGTCTACAGCCATATTCTATATTTAATTTGGGATTTTTATTTGTTTTTAGAACCTAAAATAACTCGTCCTCCCATAAATGTGAAAATAATAGAGGGATTAAAAGCAGTTCTACCGTGCACTACAATGGGCAATCCCAAACCTTCAGTCTCTTGGATCAAGGGGGACAGTGCTCTCAGGGTAAGTGATGATTATATTAAAACATCTGTCTAAAACATATTTTAAAATGTAATCATCCTTTGAACACTCAGTTACCTGCTCACCAGCTCCTAGCATAAATTTTTTTCCCATATCTATTTTAACTAAACAAATGTTTCAGTTTCCATCTACGCATATTGTAAGGAGATTCTATTTGGGACTGCCTAGGAAAGGAAAGAGATGAGGACCAGTAATGTTAGGAATGGAAAAGGAGGTAGGGCCAGCAAATGGCATATTGGTTACATTGCTGGACTCCCATGTAATTGAGCGCTGTTCGAGCCCCAGACTTAGCAGCTTAAAATTCACACCAAAGTGTATTTTTTACATTATTGGTAGAATCGTCCATTTTTCAAAGGACATATATTCTCCTGAACATACCCTATAGGGTGTGTAGTAAATGTGGTAGTTAAAAGCAACATTTTTAATCAGACTTGACTGTGCCATTTAGAAAGTTAAAGTAAGTCTCATGTCCTCATGTAGTGAAAGAATATAAAAACAAACTATACCTCATGGAATCTTTGTGAAGGTTAATTTAGGTAATCTTATACTCTCTTATTTAATATTGTATGGTATATGTAATAAATGTTCAATAAAGATGAAGATGATATTTTTGATGATAATAGTGATGATGGTAATGACTTGATAAAATAGGATATATGTGTCCTTGATTGAGCCATAGATGTTTTCTAATTCATGTTCCTATCTCTGGTAGGAAAATTCCCGCATTGCAGTTCTTGAATCTGGGAGTCTAAGAATCCATAATGTGCAAAAGGAAGATGCGGGACAGTACCGGTGTGTGGCAAAAAACAGCCTTGGGACAGCGTATTCCAAACTGGTGAAGCTGGAAGTTGAGGGTAAGGATCTTTAAGAAATTAGAGGACCTCATGTTTTATTGTGAAGGCTATGGTCAAATTTGAGAAAGAAGGGTTGTAGGTAGCCCATGCCCCTCAACTGTTCCAGATATTAACCATAAGGTCAAGACTATGAAAACAGAAAAGTTACAGGAAGAAAAAAAAATTTACTAATGTAAAAGGTAATATACCATTTATTGCCCATAGTCACTGGTCATTTTGACCAAACAGTCTAAATTTGCTATTATACTAAGATAATAAGACACTATTTTAGAACATCTACCTGACCTGGACAATTCTCCTTTGTCTGTAGATTTGGAGACACTTATTTTATCTTTTTAAAAGAGATATGTTTTTTTAAAATATATTAAAAGGGGAAACTATTTTTTTTTCAGATTTTCAGTCACATAGGTTGAGAAAAGTAAAATACTGACTCAACATGTATAACCAAAAACCATCCTAGTTTTATGTGGTCAAAATATTTTTTATTCTTAAAAAATGGTTTCCTAAAATCAATTAATTCAACAGCTTGGTGTGACAGGCCTTCACTGAGAAATCAGAATCCAAACAGGTCTAGGTATTCTAGTCACTTGTTGATCAGATCCTCCTTAATGTAAAATTGCATCACACTTTAAAAATAGGAATCACCAGAACACTTGAACTAAGTGAGCAAACAAGGCATAAAGTCTTTCTCAGCCCTTCCTGTTCTAACCCATAGAAGTAACAATGGCTCCCAGTTTTCTCATCTGTAAAGTGGGATTTGTTGTATGTAATGAAGTAAGATGTTGATAGTGTTGAGAAGAGTGTCTGGTCCTTTATACATACTCAGTAAATACTGGCTATAAGAATTATTACCAGAACCAGCAGATAGCGTAACAGCTACATCACTGGACTCCCACGTAGTTGACCATTGTTCGAGTCCCAGATTTGGCAGCTTAAAATTCATGCCAGAAGTGTGTGTGTGAGTGCCCCAAATCCCAAGAGGAGAATGGAGGAAAAGAGATTGCAGTGGGGCCATTGGGGTGATTTTTTGCTTTCTGTTTCTCTGTCTCTCTAGCGAGGACATGCACCTTATAGCAAAAATATCTAATAAAAAAGAATTATTATCTATTTTCCTATTTTTCTCTCATCTAGTTGATAAAGTATTGGACTATCTCATATTGGCACAATCAACATTCCATCAGGAGAGGCTTCAAGTGTTCCTGCATTTTCCTTTGATTCCATCCTACTCTCCTTAGGCCCAAACTTTCCTTTCCTGCATTTTTTTCCTTCTCATTCTTACAGTTTTTCTATTAGCTTCTTTAAGATTATTTTATTTCCTAAAAGGACCCTCTTTTCACAGCTTTAATAACCTTGTTTCCATACTTATCTCTAATTGAGGTAACATTTTTATTATGTCATTGCATCAGTTGCTCATAAAATTTTCATTAGCTCCTCATGAAAAAAATGAGGTTGGTAGCAATGATGGCTGTTGGAATATAAAAAGATATTTTTAGCATCATTGCTATAATTTAATATCTTCTAAATCATTTAAAGCTCAGTGTGCAACAACCAGTTGATGTTACTTATTCAGTGAAAGCTAAATAAACAGGAAAACACTCAGATACACATTTACACACTGAAGATCTTCCTAGAATCAGTGCTTACTTGAACTATCTGTGGGATGATGCAGAATTAATGCTATTCATTTCGGTAAAATACAGTAAATATTTTTTCTCTTTAAGATATTAAATCTAAGCCCTCTGTATTAGAATAAATAATACTGATTATTTAGGTTGCTATCTCCATAGACTTAAAACAAATTGCTGTAGCTTTGGCTTTGAGAAAATGATCAGCAATCTCAACTAGTTGAAGTTCAGTTCCACAGCTTGTTCTTGCTTTGCCATTTAATTTCATATCATGCCTATCAGTAAAACTGAATCCTGCCTTCTTTCTTCCTAACATTTAGATGGTCATATTCATTGCTTTAGATTAAAACATGCTAGAGATCTTATTAAACTTACTAGTAGTGAAAATGCATAATGTCATTTAAATTATTCTAAGAAGTAGGTGAGATGATCATTTTAGCACACATGTCTATTTTTACCCCATTCTTGTCCCTACTAAATTAGTAAACAATGTGACATGCTTAGCATAGTTGTTGGTACACAGTAAGATGAAGTAAGATGTTGATAGTGTTGAGCAGAGTGTCTGGTCCTTTACACATACTCAATAAATACTGGCTATAAGAATTATATAATGGCATCTGCTATAATTATTATTACTATTAGGATGTACAAATTTAAGAAAATCTGTTTGGGCTCTGGAAGTTCTGAAAGGTTGAGTTCTACCTGAAGAAACAGTTGAGACATTTCCACAAAATGTAATTCAGGTATGATCTATTTAAACAAAGGACCCACTCAACCTACAACTTAGAATAGGCTTTAAAAGCATCTAAGAAATGACTGGAAGAACCCCCCAAAGTTCCTACAAGCTTGGCAGAGATGAGGGCTGAAGATGAAGGTAGGCCATGATCAGTTGGGATAGATGAGCAAATCTATGTATCACACAGTCATCCTGCAAATTGGTTACACAATGGCTAAACAGAATCAGGACCCCATAGTGCCATTTGATACTAGGCTGCACTTGTTACAGATGGATATACCAAAATAAAAGGGTAGGGCTTTGCCATTGTTGAAATATAATGAGCCTAAAAATGCCAGGCCATGGACTGGGTACACTGTGCTGACCAAACCTTAGCTGCCATAACAAATGTGAAAAAAACACTCCATCACATGGTAGTAAAGCTCCCTCTCTAGACGGCCACAGTCACGCTGCTGGGTCTCTGCAATGGCAATGTGAGATGTTCTACTCTTCTGTCATGTCTTAAAAGGTCCAAACAGTGATAGATGGAACTACTGATGGAACCTTCTAACTCAACCACGGCACAGCATGGATGTCCTCAAAGGATAAGCAATAGGATGACTAACATGCTTAAGTATGCCATTGACGTTAAATGCTTTACATGGATTGTCTCGGTTACCCTCACTAACAGCCTGTGAGGAAGAACCTATTATTGTGCCATTTTAGGAAACTGAGGAGCAGAGAGGATAGCCAGCTTCTACAAGGACACATGGACAGCACGGTCTAACCACTGAGTAACGCTGAACACTTGTCTATTAAAGGGCAAGACAGGACTGTGTGATATCATGAAGAGTAGTGTCAGAATGGGCATGAGGGAGGAAGCCAGAATTCTGTAAATGAAGGAGAGAATAGTGGAAAAAACTGGAGAGGGTGAATAGAAAGATTTTCAATAATTTCAACAGAGAACAGGGAGGTGTCATAAAAGGTATATATGGCTTTTAATTTTTTTTTTTTTGGTAAGATTTTTCCTTTTTAGAAGTTAAAATAATAATGAGAAAGAGCCCAGAGAGCAGGGAAATTCTAAAATACAGGAGAAAAGGGAAATATTCAAGGGACTGTGGTGCTTTAGAATGCACGAAGGATGTATTGGAGGGCCAAGAGGAACGATAAGCTTTCTACAGACGGTGACCACATGTCCCGGTTTTCCCAGGACAGTTCTGGTTTACACCTGTTGTCCTGGAATAATTATTAATAGCGTCCCTCTTTTCCTTTTAGAAGTATCCAGGCTTCTATGATAAACTATATGGCCACTCTCCTTACACAGAAAGAAAGAACTTCCTTCTTCATCATAGGAAAGAAGAAGAAAATTGGCATTTTCTAGTATAAGTCAGTTCGTAATTGTGATGAATAGATTTGAATAAGTCCTGGCCTCATAGTTCCTATTTCCTCTAGGAAGCAGAAAATGAAGTTACCTTAATGTTTTGAAACTACTTTTCTTAAAGTATACAGGGAAGAGGATGGGCGTGAGGAAAAGGGAAAGGTTTTTAAATAGCTGTGAGATGGGAGAGATGACTCGCAAGGAAACCAGGATTGTGGAGCAACACCAAGGTTTTAAGAGAACGGGACCATGAATATAGAGCAGTATCAGTCTTCAGGGCTGAAGCCCCCACTCTGCCAAGCCTTCTGTTGCCCCTCTGCACAGGTAAACCTTCAGACGAAGCAGAAAACTAAATTCAAAGACAAGATAGAAATGTTGGAGTTCTGCCAGGAAGGAAAACAGGGATTTGAAACTGTTGCAAGAGAGAGATTAAAGTGATGAATCATGGGATCTCTATGTGCCAAGTACACCTCAGATGCAAGATCTAAACAGCAGATAGCCTAAGATCCGAACTAAGTTAAAACTCCATAGCTCCAGCAATATGACAGTCAAGATAATATGAAAATCTGGCTGCTACAAATATCCAGAAATGCTGGGTTGGTTGTTTAACTCAGATGAATAAAATGTAAATCTCCAGAAGCCAAAAATGATTAAGAACTAAAAGAACAGAGTAAGCTTCTGAGCTAATCTCCCCATTGTTGGAGATAATGGGAGAGGTGCCCATCTCCCTAACCCAGGAGACTGGTTTTAAAATTCTTAAAGGGGCAGGAGACACCAGTTCAATTTAGGCCTGTGAGAAGCGGAGCTTAGCGTTAAGACCCTTGTATGAAGTTAAGAACCATAGAAGTGGAAAAACGGGCCAGAAAACGTCCATCTGTGGTTCCAAAAAGACAACACAAGGCTTATCTGTTTTTATCTGAATTCTAGTTGTTATGAAGGTAAAAAAAGAAAAAAAGAAGAATATTTTTATAAATAAATATGCAATACTCAAGACTACATCTTACCTAGATTTGATATTGAATTAATACTCCCAGCACAGTTTGGGAATCCCCAGCTGGAGAAACTGACATAAAAATTAGCTCTGAACCAAAAATTTAACAACTGAGAAAATGCATAACTGAAACATCAAAGCCAAAAAGATAGTGTTAAAATACTGAAATTACTTTCAAGGGACAGAAGTTATTAACAGAATAACAATGGAGCGTGGGGAAACCGTCATTGTTATCTACTGTCATAATTTGTCATAGCCAGGTGGCAGTTTAAGTTTGCAGGAAGACACATG